ACATTGAAACTGATCTGCAGAAGACAGAGAGTTCTCTGCAGTTATGATTCTGTTACACAATAATTAGATACAAAAATTAAAAAACGTACATAAATTGTGTGTAGTGTAACTGGTTAGCAAGCTCGGTTGCAAACATGTGGTCCTGGGTTCGAGTTTCATCAATGACTTATTTTTTAAAGTTGTTTTCCATTATGAAATCCACTAAGCTGTTTCCCACGACATCATGATTCGTCAGTTATGTTTGACTTTTGACGAATTTTTTTCAATATTAATGACGAATACAAGTTTGCTCACTAATATTTTTTTCTTGTAAGTTTTTCAAACCAACTATTCATTATCGATGGGAAATATGTGGTCATTAATATGAGTCGGGTAGCTACATGTAGTGTGCGTTTGTTCCAACCATCTTTTATTGACAACCGTATTATCACCGTCGAAAAAATAGTGATTTTTATGAGAAGTTACTAAAATCCTCGCAAATAAAGTTCTTTTCCATTATGAAATCCACTAAGACACCTTTTCGGAAAACAATATTTCTGACCAATCATTTCCATCAAATCCATTTTCACATTCGTAAAAAGCAACCGAAGGGTAAAAAGGGTACATTTCAAAAATTTGTTTCCCACGACATCATAATTCGTCAGTAATGTTTAACTTTTGACGATTATTTTTAATATTATTGACGAATACAAGTTTGCTCACTAATATTGTTTTTTCTCGCATGTTTTTCAAACCAACTATTCATTAACGATGAAAATATGTGGTCATTAAGATGGGTCGGGCAGCTACATGTAGTGTGCGTTTGTTCCAACCATCTTTTATTGACAACCGTATTATCACCATCGAAAAAAATGATAATTTTTGTGAGAAGCTACAAAAATCCTCACAAATAAAACTATACCAAATATTTCTTTACCGAGTATGTGTTTTTGCGTCGCAAAAACGTCATGACACATATGCCATTTTTTTGGACGTCACAAACGATGTTCATTTCTGACGGTTTGCTTAGGACAGTTAGTAATGTTACAAATTATTGACGAAAATAAAAATATCGTCAATAAAAATGGCACGACCTTCCTCATAGATGTGAAAATCACTTTTACTGAGGAAGTATTTTAACTTTTCTGATGAATTTAGCTATTGATTGGAAATAATATACTTTTTTATGATACAAAGAAAGTTTTGTCACAAAAACAGTTATTTCCAATGAAAAAACAGTGTCGTCAGAAGGTTTTGGTCACTTCTGCCAGTCTTTTTTGTAGTGTAACCTCTAACATTGTCATGGTACTTATAATTTTCATAGCTGCAGACTAAGAAAAGACCAGCAACATATTTGATGGAAAACGCAGAAAGATATAAATGCCAGTATGCGTGCTATATCGATAGATTGGATCGTGGAGGCTGCATAAGGGTACAGACTTGTGCCAGATACCTTGTGTCTGACCGTTAACTGCAATGTGATGAACAAACAGAGATTGCAATAGCTTGGTGTTGCCTCCATGATGATTTCTGCGTGTAACACCCTACCCTATACGTTTTGCCTAATCATATTGTTCACAATTGCAGCGAAAATAATCTCGGGTGTTACATTAATTACAAAATTTACCCAAAGAAAATTTCGACATGAATTATTGGCGTAATGGGCTAACAGTTCTTGTAACTAAATCCTGCAAAATAATTTATCTGAATCCCTGCATCCATAGACATACACATATACCCATAACCATATACATTGGCTTTCATAGCCACAGACACATTTTCATACTCCACAACTGCATACCTTACTAATACATATCATAGTCTTCATAACTTACACAACCATATAAATATACACATATCATTAACTTTCCACACCAGTGGATATCTCACACTACATCAGAAGCTAGTATGCACATGAAAAACGTTATCAAAACATTTTTTTACAAAAAGGTGTGGATCACTGGCCAAAATCTCGAGTAGTAGTCCAAGCACAGAATAGTTGAAGACCATACATCATCTTGACTTCAACTCTAGCTCCTCTCCCACCTAACACTTATCTACTGCTGCTGATGATCTAGTTACACATAGCATAAGCAGAGAAGAAGAATAAAAGAGGGTCAGCTCATAGCTGAGTGAGATAATCATAGCATCGTGAGTTCATAACAGAGCATACCCCTACCATACATCTAGCAAACAAGCCAAAACACTAGGATCGGACCTCAGCCATCCTCATATCCCAATGGGCAAAAGACTCAACCACCTTGACTTATGCATATGCGTCTTATCATGTTTTACTTATAGGCGCCTGGTTACTCCCCTGTTAATTACTCTCCCGGGCATACGGACCAAACATCTCGTGGATGTGGTCATATTGGACCCACCACTGCCGGTGTAGTCATATCGGACCTGTCACCACTCTGGGTGTGGTCACATCGGACTCAACACCACTCTGGGTGTGGTCATATCTCATGATGAATTAACGGTCAACACAACATCAGGGGTGTGACATAACATATCATAACGGAGTAATAGCATGGGGAGCCCTAATTACTAAGTAGTTGACCGTGAGACCACAACACTCATATCTCATGATGAATTAACGGTCAACACCACATCAGGGGTGTGACATAACATATCATAACGGAGTAATAGCATGGGGAGCCCTAATTACTAAGTAGTTGACCGTGAGACCACAACACTCATATTTGGTATCCTTATACATGATTCATATCTCATCTTGCTTAATCATAATTCATTACTTGCACATGTACTTGACCTGACCATAATTGGCTCAACATAGGGAAATCAGGAGTCGTATAATTGCACTTCCTCGGGATAAACCCTCGTGCAAGTCATCCTCCTTAAACATCATAATATCACCAGGGAATATATATTTTCCCACTTGTGCATCCAAATACAACAATCATGAAAAATCATACCTAATCACCTTCTCGAACCATCGTAAAGCATATTAACAGTCAAGCCCACAATTTGCAACATATACACAATCATCATCATAAACAAGGTTCATATCGATTAGGGCAAGTCAATAATATCATACAGCAATCCAGGGTTCAACATATAGCACAAAAGTTCATACACCCCTAATCATGCCATTCTAGTTCACCTAGATCAATTCTAAGCATCAATATAATTATCGTGATACGACAAACCCGGTATGCCGTGCTAATCCCTCACCAGTTCTGGTCGTTCAAACACCGGTTTAACCTTCCCGTAATAAAACGTCAATTTCAGGAACGAACCCCGAATTAAAATCCAAGACCGTCCTAATATCCCCTGCAGTATCCCCGTCAATATTAGTTCTAGGCTCCGGGTCAAATTCTCGATAAAACACACATCAAACCCTGGCCGGCGCTAAATTCAGCGATCCCGGCTCCGACCTAAATAATAGCCGAAATTCATGGAGTAGAACCAGAGGATTAATTACCTCGCTGCAGGAAGCTCGTATATGAAATTTGGGCTCAATCTGGCTTCCGGATACTCCGAAACCCTAATTTGGCTTATCGGGAATTCAAGAAATTCCTGAACCAAAAACTCGTTTTAAAACTCTAAATCGATAAACTACGACGAATGGATGGATTAGGCGTTACTTACGGGATTTTTGGATCACTGTAGCTCAAGAATTGAGCTTTGCAATTTACTTCCTCGCATCCCCTGAAGAGCCTCTGCTCTCGGTCCAGAAAATAGAACCGAAGAAGATGATAATGGACGGGGTGGGGGAAGTTAATATATATGGCCGCTTAATATATATATATATATATATATAATACGTATACTTATCCGATCGATCGATAATCTGATTTTCGTCGAAATAGTATCAAAATGCTCGAATTTAAATCGCGAACTTTCTTGCGATCGAAATATGGGATTTGTCGGAACGGGATGTTACACTGCGTGGGTAACAAGTTTCATGGTTTCTTGTTTGACTGATGTTCATTTTCTGTTGTGAAGTAACATACTAACAACACCAGACCATATTTATATTGACAGAACCCATGACCCATATGGATATGTTCCCCTCCAATGTTTGAACCTTTCCTAATCTTTGCCCTTCTCAACCAACCCAGCTAACGGTACTCATTTCCCTCTGACAGAGCTTCGATTATGAAATATAAATAAAGAGGTCATAGGCAAGCAACCAAATATGTCCAAAACAAACATCTGGCTTCGGAGATCATATGAACTGCAATTTTTGTATAATTCAGGATATTCGCATAACAAACTGCAGAAGGGCAAATCCCGACAAAGGTAAGAGTGGCAAATGTATGAACAGTAGGAGGCGAACAAACAAAAGCAGGTTTCAAGTCCTGATAAGCTACTGCTTTGCCATACTCCAGCATCATTATTCCAGAAGAGAATCTACATTCACGAGGCAGGTCCAAAAACAGAAGTTCGTCGATGACACCGCTGCCAAACTTGATTTCATTAAGTCGAGGTAGCACTTCAAAAGTTGCCTCTACAAAAGGAGGAAAAGCAGATAGTACTAAAAATCAATATTATGCGCCACAAATAAGTCATATGAATGCTAGACTGTATGCTATGAAACTTTATCTTGGCGAAAACTCAAGTTTTCAACAGATGTCATCTAGAAATTCAATTCCAAACATGGTCAAGTGGTCAAGGATTACATCCATAATTTCCAACAAGCCGATCCTAGCCAGATAAAAAACCAGATGTTGCCATATCCACCTACCAAATCCTCTTCCTGACTTTGAACCACTGATGCCGCACTGCCATGCCTCCTGAAGATAACACAAGAAGAAGTTAAGAAAGTTCCAAATGTAAACAAACCCATCTTGTAAATTTCAAGGTTGTTAAGTAAAAATTATTTAATACAAAAATATGGGAGGGTTGCTGACCTGTTCTTTTATGTAGCATGCCATAAATGGGATCGAAGTGATGATAAGGTGAGTAACAAGTTCACTGCAAAGAACATGAAAAAATGTAAGTTGCGGTCAAAATAAAGTGGGTAAAATTATTGGGAGGGTCGAAATATACCATTACAGTGGCGGTGCGGTGAGCTCTGCTGTGTTTCTAAGACAGCTAAATGCCTCATGGTACACTATGTTGCGAGTGTAGTTTGAGGGGATGTTTGGTTCATTTACAATGAGGAACCGTAGACCTGCAGCTGTCCGGACTCGAGATACAGCAACATAAAGTTGACCATGATTAAAGACAGGTTTCGGTAAGTAAATACCAACACTCTGTAATGTTTGTCCCTGGCTTTTATTGATGGTCATGGCGTAACACAGGCGAACCGGGAATTGTCGTCGTTTAAGCACGAATGGCCAACGGCTGTCGTTGATGTTAAGGACAACTCTGGGAATAGCCACAGTCTTCCCATTAAATGTACCTCCCATTATGAGACCCTTAATAACATAATGACCCAAGAAGACAATCATCAAGCGCGTACCATTGCATAAACCTATAGCTGGGTTGAGATTCCTTAACAACATGACTGGCGTGAAGACCTTGAGGTCAATCTGATGCTCTGGATAGCCGTTGAAAGACAGGGTATTGAGGAATTCTGTAGGATATTTGGTTTCAATTCGTCCTGCATCGGTTGCATCAGTATGCAATGTGTCACTGCTAAAATAAGTCCGTATGGGGCCTTGTACCAAAGAAAGCATATGAGTATTAATCTCTGTGACATTGATGTTTGTTGGAGTCACGTTGGATCTTTCAGTCAAATATGAAGCACTGTGAAATCTTTGAGAGAAATCAGAATATATTTCGGAAGTCATCTTCTCGATGGGTGCATCTGTAGATTGGATCATAGAGGATTCTGGAATTTCTATCCAATCAGTTGGTTGGTTCTCAACAAAAGATTTAGCTCGAACAATTCCATCACCAACAGAAAGAGTCCATTCTGCAAAGTTCTGGCCATCAAAAATTTGCCTCTGGTTTGCAGCATCAGAAGTAACACGCATGTTCTGTGATAGGTGGAGCACAGTGCACAAAGGCCACAGGTAAGAACGTGTAAGAGATGCATCAACACTTTCTTCTCTCCCAGCATCAGCCACAATTGGTAAAGTCTGCCGAAAGTCTCCACCAAGTAGAACTGTTTTGCCTCCAAACGGTATGTACTGGTCACCAGTCAAAGGGACTTTCATAATGTCACAGAAAGCACGATCAACTGCCTCAAAAGACAAACGATGAACCATTGGGGCTTCATCCCATATAATGAGAGATGCACCAATTATCAACTCGGCAAGAGGTGTACCTTTTTTTATATTACAAGAAGAACCATGGTCAATTTCCAGGGGGATCTTGAACCGGGAATGAGCTATAGTTGCATTAGGAAGCAAGGTTGCAGCAATTCCCGAAGAAGCAACGACAAGAACAATTTTGCCAAGTTCCTTGAGATGGCCAAGAATCGTTCTATAGAGGAATGTTTTACCAGTACCTCCATGACCATGAAGGAAAAAGAAACTTGAAGATCTGGTCTGAGCAGGTAAAAAATAATTTATGACTGTTTGGAATGCTAGTGCCTGCTGCTCATTCAAGCTAGTGGGAACGGGCATTGCGGAGTCAACATCCGGCAGAACAGGACTGTATGTTTCATGTGCAGGAGGCGGTTGCAAGTCATGTAGTGGAGGCTCAGCCGTTGGGAGTGGGAGGTTAAAATGTGAGAGAGTTGCTGAATATCCATCTAGCATTCGTTGCAATTCCCACAATAGCTTATTTTAGGCAACTCTGGTGGAATAAGATTGTTATTGAAGCTAACATCTCGCTGGCACTGATATGTTATATCATCCGAAAGCAATTCCCATGTCTTATCAAAAAGACCTAGGGGATCAGACAGTTCACAAAACATGAGCATTGTGACAAAAGATACCTGAGAAGACGACACATGCCCCACTGACTAACCTCTTTGATAACAAGCAACCATTCGTTGTCGTTTGACAATAAACCAAGACGCTGACAAGCAGCCTGATACGTGCGACACGGAAATCCATTAACTGTACGTAGATCAGCAAAATTAAGGCCCTCACGAATCTTGGTCAGAAGTTGCCTGAGGTAAAAAGTATCTCCACAACCTGGATGAATATAAACAATACGGCCAATTGCAAAACCCTTCTTTCTTTGAGTCCAGTTTTTTTCCTTCAAATCCCATATATATTTGTTCGGGGTCTCTGCATAGAGCAAGGAACGCGCACCTGGGTCCCGTTGGTTAAGAGAAAACCACTGTGTGAGAGTAGTTTCTGAAATAGCATCGCGTGCAAGAATCCGTGATAGTCTCTGTTTCTTTCTATAAGGAACGCGATGCTTCCCTTCAAGATGCACACACAAGCGCTGCACAGGCGGTGTTCTCTCGCGGATAGGGAACTCAAAGATACGCTAGGCTGCTTCATATGATGACAAACTTCTGCAGTCCAAGTATCGTTTTATCTCGTCAATTGGCGGAGGTGGTCCGGTTACAGTTGAGGAAGAAGAGGGCTGATCATGACTCTATGCAACCACCATAGAACGATCGGGGCCTTTGGTGATATATTTGAAGAGGTACTTAATCAAACGTCCTTGGTGGCAAAGTTCGACATTTATATGAGCTTGGAAAAGGACAAGCAAGTTTCTGTTATACGGAACAATGTACCGATTATCAAGTATAGCCGATCCTTTTGGAGCTGATATGCCTGTGTCTCGTCTTCGATAAACCGTGTAGCCGTATTGATCCGTCGTTGTTTCCGAATTGAACGATTTGGGAAAGAATTTTGAACATGAGCCGTCTTTCATGCAGACATTGGATGGATTATCCGAACCACATGGACCATGAAGCATGAACTTTGTCACTATTTCATAGCCAACCGGATCTTGTTCTGGATCCGGCAATTTAGCAGTAATCGTCGAATCGATGTCAGCAGGTGAATTTAATTTATGCTTCTCATCCAGCCACAGCAGAATATGAACGTGAGGCATACCTCTTTTCTGAAACTCTATTGTTTTAATACCTGTCCGTTGAAAAAAGGCAGAGGAACATAGTGGTAATTAGGCAGAAGTACTGAAACTGAAGACATGATAACACATCATGAATGAACCAAGCAGATTAACTTACACCCAATGACAAAATACTGCAAATCGTAAAACTGTAACATTCGTATAAATAGCAGATATGGTAGATGGTCTTTGTGTATGGGACACTGAATTGATGGAGTTGATAGTGGTGGGTGTGGAGTTTTTGGAAATGAGCATTCTATGTCTAAACGAGACCACTGAAAAGGGTGGGACTCGCCCTCATAATAACTACTCCTAAAGGCCAATATGAGAAAGAAGTAAAGAATAGATAATCTTTCATCATGTTGCTTCTTTCCAAAATCTCCTGCTTGAGTTATTCACCGATTCACCAAACAGTTTGATTAATACAGTAAAGGCACAAATGGCTACTCAACAAAGAAAATCCAGTCACCACTAACAATAATGAAAAGAAGGAAAACACCTACGTTGTTTTAAACTTCCATCATCTCCTTAATTACTTGGCAGCTAACAAATTGTGGTTTGTTACATTTTACTATTTAGTCAAGAGTGCTAACTAAGTGTGTACGATTCACGTCATCAACCTACTGAAACGGACTGACGAGAACTTGAATCCTCATCTCACTCACTCCCGGCCATATAAAAAAGAAAGAACTAATTAAGTAACCTTATAAAAATAAAGTGCTAATTAAGCAATAGTAGCCAATGTACTGAGTAACTTGGAACTCTGCTAACTTCTAAACAGAGTACTTCCCACTTAGAATTAGTATCACTGGAATAGGAACAACAATATTACTAAGAATGAGGAAGTCAATCTCTATAGTAACGAAGTCAGTGTGGTCCACTTTTCATGAACCTGAACCAGCGGCGGATTCAGGATTGGGTAGAGCACTGGGCCACATTGGAAAAAAGCAGAGAAGGTTGGGCCGTAACACGACGAACACTGAAACGAACACCGAAACGAACAGCAAAAATCGAAAATTTACACGTGCTATACTAGCTCCGGATTGAGGGAGGGCTGGGCCGTGGCCCGGGGGCGGCCCCGCCCTAGATCCGCCGCTGACCTGAACCATAACAGAAAGAAGAGGAAAGGGATGTTTGCAACATACGAAAGGCATGCACATGAAAAAGTAGTTCCATTAAAAAATGAAAGCGATAAAACATGCGGTATAGAGAATGGTAAGGCAAACCTGCAATTGTTTTTCCAAAAAATTGTGACCTTGTAAGCTCATCCTCAAGAGCATTAAGTTTCATTCGAAAAACCCGAGCAACTATCTGTGGTTTCAGCTCACTTCTGGATCCGCACAGTTCACGAAACGATTCTGTTATCTCGGGCCACTGAGAGTTGCAGGTAAAGGTGATGGAAAGATCCGGACTGCCATGATGGTGAACAATAGCCATTGCATCTAAATACAGCTGTTTCATGTACTGAGGACTACCGATATAGGACGATGGAAGGACAACATGGCCAACATCATCACCTGTAACATCACCTCTGTCAAAAGCGTCTGTGAGACCCTAATACAACTCAGCACGAAGTTCTTCCTGATGAGTACGTAAATAATAAAGCCTGTTCTGTTCAACTTTGGAGAATGCATCAACTATATAGTGCTGCAAAGCTTTTCCTCCACGCATCAATGTTTGTCCATCATCCATGTGCCGTAAACGAAATGCATAATATTCACGCTGAGTTATATACTTGCGTTTCAAAGTTGGCGGTACATGTACTGGATCATACGGTATCTTGGAGTGTTCGAAAAAACCGGTAATGAGGAGGCAGGAGGAGTCCAACACAGTAAGATGCAGGGGGAAGGAAACCTGGTACGTAGGCTGATCGGATTACATGTGCCATTTCAGAGGAGGGTTCCAGGAGAGTACGCGTACCAGGAGTGTTCGAAATTGCAAAGCCACCTTGAGGGAGAACAACACGAATTAGCCAACCAAAGACGGATAAGAGTTAAAATGACGACGGAAGAAAAGGCAAGAAAGGCAAGACCTCGCGTCGCAGCAGTAACCTTGAGGCACCTGAGGGCAAGAACAACGACCCCATCACGGCCAAGGAAGGCCAGTTCCTCACCGTCAACAGCACGTGCTATATCGCCCCAAAGCGTAATATCAAGCAACATATGGCTGAAAGAACGACAGAGTGGACAACTGAAGAAGACAAGAGGGAAATAAAATGTAAGAAGGACAATAGACGAATAAGTCAGGGGAACACAAACCTTTCATTCTGCAATACCAGTTCCGACGAACGTTATCGCCAAAGGTTGTGAAAGTATGGGAAAGGCCTGTAACACTAACTACAGCACCAACTACATCTGCAGAAAAAGTAGGCGTAAAATTGGTAAGTACAAGTAAGCAACCTACCTTGAGTAGATAAACAGAAAGACGGGGAAGAGGAAACGAATGGACAACCTGTTAGGTAAGACGCCGAGCGAATACGAGAGTGGAGGGAGCTAAAGGGGACGAATTGAAAGCTTCCGGCCAGAAATGGGGCGACGAAGCAGTGACGTCTTCAAATTTCGTGTCAACTGAAAGAACGATTTCTAATTTGTGGGAGCAAGAACGATAAACAGGACCAGGAGGTTGAACCCGGAAACCACTAACAAAGTAGACATTCCCCAACTGCAAGAGGGCGGAGAAATGATAAGTCAAATTGGGGGGAGCCAGACCCTGAATTAAAGTTCCCTGCAAGACAAAAACAAAGACGACATCAACACACAGCAAGAGAAAGAATGCAAATAACAGCAAGCAAGGTAAATAAAAGCACACCTCTTCATCATTCCAAAGGGTGCAGTAGTTAAAGATCAGAGAAGGATCCTTCAAACCATAGGACCCCCAAGCGTGAACCAGACGCAGTTTGAGCAGCGTGTGCAGACCGTCATTTGCACCAACATCAAACAGAAGCTTATGAGTAACCATGGCGGAAATCAGAGGAAAACCAAAGAAGACGGAGCAACAGAAAAGAGCAGATATAAGGAGGTTCAGGAACAAACCGGGAAAGCAGAATATAAGGAAAGAAGAGAGCAAAAGCAGCCGGACTCAGGCGGTGACCAACCCATCGGTGTGAAAAGACAGGCCGACCTCAGCCGGATCTCGAGGAAACCCCAAAGCAGCGGCGGCCAAAAAGTCGAAGAAGAGAGAGGCAACCACGAGCAAGGATCGTCGCAGAGCAGAGGAAAAACAACCGAGATCATTTGGACAAACACTGGATTGGGAATAGAAATGGATTGGGAATAGAAAGAAACAATCTTTCACGGCAAAACGTCCCCTGGCTCTAGGTTCTCTAGCCTGACGCTTCTTTTCTCCAGCCTTCATCAAATATTAAAGAATGAATTACAAGGTAGATAGGATTAAAGAATGAATGATAGGGTAGATAGGACTTCTAGGCTGACGTTTCTTTTCCCTAGAGCAATGATGGAACTAACGGCAGAAAAAGAACTAATCACAGCAACGATGAAAACTAATGGCAGCAACTAATTACGGTAGTGCCACCCATGGGATGGGACACTAATGAACAGTACATTTTGGACATGTCTTATCATAAGAAGAA